CAAAAATCCTCACAGCTGAACCAGTAAGCAACATCATGATAAATGGAGAAAAGCTTGATGTTGTCAAGGATTTCATTTTACTTGGATCCGCAATTAACATCCATGGAAGCAGCAGTCAAGAAGTTAGATGATGTATTACACTGGGCTGTCTGCTGCAAAAGACCTTTTTAAAGTTTCAAAGGGCAAAGATATCCCTTTGAAGATTAAGGTATGCCTAACCCAAGCCATAGGAGCTCTGGTAGCATAGTGCCTAAGGCACTTGACTCTAACCAGAAGGCTGGCAGTTCAAACCCACCAGCCACTCCTCGGAAGGAAGGTAGGGCAATCCTACTTCTGTAGTGATATTGCCTCGGAAACCCAAGGAGGGGTCACTATGAGTCGGGGGTGACTCGACGGCAAATAACAACAACAACAACAACAACCCAAGCCATGGTATTTTCAATTGCCTTGTATGCATGTGAAAGCTAAACAATGAATAAGGAAGACCAAAGAAGAGTTGATGCCTTTGAATTTTGGTATTGGAGAATACTGAAAATACTATGGACTACCAGAAGAATGAAGAAATCTTTCCTGAAGGAAGTATAGCCAGAATGTTCTTGGGAAGTAAGAATGGCCAGACTTCATCTTCATCTTACCTTAAAAAAAAAAAAAAAACTCACTGTGATTGAGTCAATCCAATTCATGGTGGCCCCCATTGGGTTTCTGAGGCTATACATCTTTACAGAAGTAGATAGCCCCATCTTCCTTCCACGGAGGGCTGGCAGGTTTGAACCAATGACATGGTTAGCAGCCAAATGCCTTATCGGCTACACCATGAGAGATTCTTTCCTCTTACCTACTTTGGACAAATCTGTCCTGGAAGAAGTGCAGCCAGAATGCTCCTTGGAAGTGAGAATGGCCAGACTTTGTCTCATGTCCTTTGGTCATGTTGTAAGAAGGGGCCATTCCCTAGAGGAGGATATCATGCTTGGCAAAGTGGGGGGACAACAATAAAGGGGAAGGTCCTCAATGAGATGGACTGACACAGTGGCTGCAATGATGGGCTCAGATATAGCAAAGATCATGAGGCTGGCACAGGATCAGGCAGTGTTTTGTTCTGCTGTATGTGAGGTTGCTATGAGTCGGAGATGACTCAACGGCACCTAATAACACCACCACCACTTTGATCATATTGTCATATGGGACCAGTCACTGGAAAAAGATAACATACTTGGTAAACAAAGTAGAGAGTCAGTGAAAAAGGGCAAAATCTTCAATAAGATAGATTGACGTGGTGGCTGCAATGATGTTCTCAAGCACAGCAGTGATTGCTAGTGAGAGTGGCACAGGACTGGGCAGTATTTTATTATGTTGTCCATAGGATCAGTATGAGTTGGAGCCAACTTGATAGCACCTAACAACAACAACAGGGCTGGATATAGTGTCTAGAGATGGTGGAAAGAAGGGCATAGAGCAGAGTTGGAATAATAGGACAGAATCTAATGCTGTCAAGAGTCCTCAACATGGCAGTATAATTTCATGTGTATGTGTTTTTTTGTTGTTGTTGTTGTTACCTTTTACAATCTGTCCCGATGATAATTCTTATAATTTAGACCATTATTTGACTTTAGGGTTCAGTGCTCAGAGGTGGCATAGCTTTAATTTAGGGGGAAAAAAGAATTAGAAAAGTAGATTCTTCATTCTATTTTCTAATTAACATACAGGTTAATTTATTTTCTGCTAATGACCTAATCAATTTTGCTTCAGACTTTGGCCAAATGTTAGCTCAATGTTTTCATAATACAGATTTAAAAAGTACCATCACAGGATTAATTTCTATTAATCTATTAAAGTCTATTATAATCAACTTGACTTCTTGGGATTTTAAAACACAGTTTGAACCCTTGGAATTCAAACATGACAGCAGTTGTATTCAGCATTCTAAAGTAGATCTCTTTTGATTCCACATATAGAATTTCACTTATTATATTTTTGTGGATTAATAAAACAAGAGCAACAGAAAACAATAAAGTGAGATCCAAGCATATAGAATTCTCAGTCTCATCTCTCTGGAAAACATGATTAATTCATCATGCATTTATTTATCCACTTTAATAAAAGTCATTTTGATATTTGAGGAGTAGTCCTAGGTCTGCTTGCTCTATGTCTATGTATTACTTTTCTTACAAAGAGTTTCAGGTGGTGTCTTAGTGCCACAGGTGGATGACTTGAACGAACAGAAATTTATTTTCTCACAGTTTTGGGTGCTGGAAGTCCAAATCAGGGCATCAACTCTAAGGCAAGACCCTTTGAATTGGTAGCCCCAAAAGTTCCTAAATGTTCCTTGGTGTCTGTCTTCCCACAGTATGTGTCCTTGCACCTATTCTGCTTTTTTTTTCATAACTCAGAAGTAATTAGGTTTAGGACCCATCCTACTTTGTTATGACTTCATTAATATAACAAAAGAAAAATCCTATTTCCTAACAAGTTCATATTTACAAATACAGGGGTTAGGATTTCAGCACATTTTTGAGGGACACAATCTAACCCATGGTAAGTGATTACAGTGGAAATCATTTGAGATTGTCCTGGGATTAAGGCCAGCAAAACCACAACTAAAACCAAATTTTAATCTGCACCCCCTATGGTCACTATGGGTATAAAGAAATAGTTTGTTGGAAGAGAGAGAAAAGAAGTGGTGAAAGAAAGTGAAAAGAAAGATAAGGAGTGAAAATATGAAAAGAGAAAGATGAAGGGGGAAGCAACAAGCTAAGACCAGTCCATAGAATACCTCAAACTTTATCCTTTCATGGCCAGCTTCTTCCCAGGTAGATACGAAAACCCAAGTTGCTTTTATCCACTCCAGCTTCCTGAGAACCCAGAGGTTTTAAAATTCTTAAAGGAATAATTCTTTTGTCAGATAAAATCTTGTATGAGGCCCAATATAGAAAAACAAATAAAATAGTGCTTTATTAATGTAAATTTACATCATAAGTCAAGATTTATAATATTTACTTAGCATGAAACTAATTGGTAAGAACAGCAAGATTATTTTAAATAAACATAACCATTTGAAATTCATATATATGCATGACAATTTGTTTTTTCAGCATCATATCTAACTTTTGTGTTTTGTTTTAAATGCACAGTATTAAAAAAGCTCTGTTTTACATGAAATTTAAATAGTATCTGACTATTAAACTCCTCAACATATACAAAAAGAATTTTAAATTGTTGTATTATCTTGAAGGAGAAGAAATTGGTAAGGTTGGGTTCAAAGACTGATCACTCACAACTTTCTGCAAACTGTTATCAGTACATAATACAAGTCAGATAAAGCACTTCAAATTTACAGTGGGTGCCAACACTCTGTAAGGTGGGAGTCTTATAATTTGACATGCCCTGAAGGAAGATTGGGCAGTATACTTCCATAGCTACACTGCCTTGGAAACCCAAGGAGGGGTCTACATCAGTGAGTTTTGGTTTGGTTTTGGTGGCCACATGATACATACAGTGCCAGGAGCATGTACTGCACTGTTAGACTTGAGCCTCCTGGGACATTTAATTGAAACTTGCATATTTGAGTGTAATTTGCTAGATTTTTACATGAGGATCTCTGGTGATAAAGCGGTTAAGCACTTGGCTGCTAACCCAAAGGTCAGCAGCAATTTGAACCCACCCAGGGCAAAAGACCTGGCAGTCTGCTGCTACAATGATTAACAACAACAACAAAACCAAACTCACTGCCGTCAAGTCAGACTCAACTCATACTGAACCCTCCTTGGGTTTCCAAGGTGGTATCACTATGGAAGTAGATTGCCCAACCTTCCTTCCGAGGAGTCGCTGGTGGGTTTGAACCACCAGCCTTCTGGTTAACAGTCAAGTGCCTTAGGCACTATGCCACCTGTAATGATTACAGCCTGGAAAACCTATGGAGCAGTTCTACTTTGTCCTGTAAGGTTGCCATGAGTTGAAATTGATGACAAATAATAGCAACAGCATGGTTTTATATGGATAGACATGTGCAGTCATCAGACTATCCTTTCTTTCATGTTTGCAGTGATGCTTCCTTACCTCCAAAGCTTGTTTCACACCTAAGATATTAGCTAATGAAAGAGATTTAAATTTCTCAAAGGCATAGATGACATTTTTGTAATGTTCTCCTCAACAGAAAAAGGCACATATTTCTGCTGTGTCATTAACATCTTCACAAAGAAGATGGGTTAAGTCTAAGCCAAACAATAGGCCCACCAGCTGAACACCTATACTAGAGAGATTCATTCCTTAGAACAACCAACCATGGGAGATCAGAAAGGCAACATTAGGAGGGAGAAATGTAGGGAGGCAGCAATGCATAAGAAGAACAAGGGGAAGGGGTAACCACAGGGAGGAAGTGGGTGGAGAGGTGTTACACTATGTAACCAGTGTTACAAAACAAAATGTGTAGGAAATGTTGAATGAAAATCAAATCTGCTTTGTAAAATTTCACCCAAAATCACAACAAAAAGTAAACAGAGAAACAAAAAAAACCATAATATTTCTGCTCTGTCATTAACATCTTCACAAAGAAATTTGACAGTTGTTTCCGGTGAATGTGTTGGGTAAAGGTCACCTCCTGGGCTACTCTGCTGTTCTGCAGTCCTGATGTCTTGCTTTGGGGTACATTACTGCTTCCATGTGTGCTCTTTGTCATACACATAAAAAGGATATATTTGGTAGTCATTGACAGTTTTTTTTTTAATGGATTAGGTAATTTCCCTTGAAATTTCTTTCCTAATTCAGCATGAAGTAGAATTAAGCATTAGAAATGAAGGAATTTATTTGCTGATATCAAAATTAGAAGGGGAATTGTTAGGTTATACAGTGGACTGTAAAAGGGCTGCAGAATGGATTGAAGAAAATTATCAAGCATGCGTGTTGTTTTTAAGTGATACTTGAGACAGGGATATGAAACAGCTGTGTTGTTGAGGGTTTTTTCCTCATGCCAACTTTCTTTATTTGATTGATTTTCTCTCTGACAGCCCACTGCGCTGATAAATGTGTCCATGGTCGCTGCATTGCTCCAAACACCTGTCAGTGTGAGCCTGGCTGGGGTGGGACCAACTGCTCCAGTGGTAAGTTCCCACCTGCTGTTGTCTGTCTTGGGATGTTTTTGCTGTATGAGCCCCCTTGTCTGCAGATTACCCTGAGCCAAAAGCTTTCCTCTTCATCCCTATACAGAACATGGGGTGGATCCAAACCCAGCTCATTGACACAGTTCCTTTTACAAGTGTACACATATTACATACAGAATTTAAGGAAAGATACTTAGAAAAAGGGAGCTGTTATAACGCTGATACTTATGTGACTATGAAAGCATTTTCCAGAGCAGGATCCAGAATTTAGATTCCTTACTTTCATAAGACAGTTGTGGTACATAGCTATTGTATTCTAACTTCTCTCTTTACCTGTTGATTTAGCTAAGATACTTTATCAGTGATTAAAATTGATCACGTTTTGGTTTTAACTCAGAAGTAAAATTGTTATTTTCAATGCTTAACATATCTACTTATGTCTGAATGGAGATGCAGATAATGAGTCCTTGCTCAGATAACTTTGACAAGATATATTTGTAATAAATGGAAATTGATGAACATTTTGGTTCTTGTTAAATCAAATCATAATATCGTATTTAATCTGTCCATAATGTGAATATTACAATACTAAAATGATGGCATTTTGAAATACAAACAGGCTGTACCTCACATACCATATTCATTATTATGAGGATTAAATGATGAAATGTCATGCAGTATAGTTGCTTTTCTAAATTCCACACTTAAAACTTAAAGTCTTCTGACTTCCCTCATTGCTACATGAGTAATTATGTATACTTCCTATTCCTTTATATTTTTTCTTTGCCTTAAAAATGGTCAGAGGAAATTGAAGGGTAACTGAAATATAATTCACAGTACTTCACACTTATAAAAGGAAATAGCAGTTTTTTAAAATTAGCAGGTTCTGATGACAACACAGATTTATCATCGCTGCAAGCAAATAATTTTCTGAAACTAGACTGAAAGGACTTTAAGCTGTCTAGCTAAGCTGGCTTTAAGAAAGTTTGCTTGCTTACATTGGACATTGTGGAGTTTATGCTATATCTTTTTAGAACTACTTGTTTCAGACTTGTGATGCCTCAGCTCCTGAACCTGCATCCCCAGAGGAAGTCCTTGATGCTGTCTGTGCAAAGAACACTCCTTTTGAATGACCCTTTGTTACTGCACCTTTCACTCACTCTGTGTGTGTGTATGTGTGTGTCTCTCTGCCCCTGACAGGTTTCTCAGTTCCAATGGATAACCGTCTTGCCAGGTTTTGTTTTGCTTCTGTCAGAGATCAGGAGAGTGGGCATTTTGTTCAGATGCCATTGAAGCAAAATGTTTGGGATATGGGATTTGGCTCATGTCCATTTTTCTGGCAGACTGACCTAAAATGAGACGTTGCTTTCATTAACTTTTCCAGCTTAAAATTCAGTTGTGCCTAGACATTTTGAAGAAAAATAACATTATCATTATTTAGTGGGAAAGGGAAGAGTGGGTGTATTCTTGATCTGAATAATGAGGTTTGTTACTGATTCCAGGGCAAGAATGCTGTGGAGTAATTTCAATTGGGTTCATACTTTGTCTCATGAGTACTTCAGCCTACCTCAAACTAAGTAATCAGGCTGAAGAGTGTTTGTATAAACAAAACAAAAGCCTACATGAGTTTCAGAATCTGTAGAATTGATACAGGCCTTTCAGAAAATAAATTGTGGATTTGTTTTGGAGTTTACTGACTTTTGAGTGAAGTGTCTGGAATTCTGAGAATAAATGTTCTTTCAATCCTAGAAAATGATATTTAGGCAACTTTAATTTATTCTCTATAATTCATATTTTGTTTTAAAGTAACCAAAAACAAACAACAACAACAACAAAAAAGCCTGAACGGATATCTGAAGTCTTTAAAGTTGTTTTGAGAAAAGCGTGTTTGATACCTTTTTTAAGCAGATAAGAAAATAGTATTCTGAGCTAGAGCTATGGGTCTTGTTACATGAGGTTTGTCTGTGGCAGTTCTTTCAATTACTTGTTAGAAGTGTATCTATTTATTTACTGCTGGCCAGATGATTCTTGAAACAAAACATATGCTATACTGACAAGGGACAAGGTTGTAGTCACTTCTTGGCCACAGCCAGCTACCCAGAGGGAGCAAGTAGTTGGACCTATGACTCGGGATCATAGTCGCAGAGGACATCAAGCTCAATTGGCATAACATACTACACAAAAACATTGTTCCACATCCTACTTTGGCAAGTAGTGACTGGGATCTGAAAAGCTTGCAAGCAGCCATTTATATGTAACGAAGAGTCTCTCCTCGTCCAGAGCAAAGAAGAATGAAGAAAACCAAAGATGCATGGACACAATTAGTCTAAGTGACTGGTTGCCAAAGGGACAGGGAGGCCACATAATCTGACTTCCTTTAACCCCACAAGAGGAAGACAGATCAACCATTAGTAGCCCGAAGCCTATCCCTGCGAGTCCAGACATGCTGCCTCCTTCTAGCCCTTTCACCAACCCTGACACCAACTCTTCCTCCCACAGCACCCACCAGCTCTTTGCTGGATTTGACAATTCTCTGCAGTGGCCACACAGAACTCACAGACTATGGGGTTTATTAAGGAAGCACCAGACTACAGTTCAAGTTCAGAAACACACTCAGTCTCTCTCAGCCTGGCATCTCTGAGCCAATAGTCTCTCTCAGTCTCTCTCCCAGCAGGGCATGTCTCTCGGTGTCTCTCTCAGCAGTGTCTGTCTCTCGGTATCTCTCTCAGAAGCATCTGTCTCTCACGTCTCTCAGAAGCATGGGTCTCTCACATCTCTCAAGAAGCACATGTCTCTCAGGTGCATGTTTCTCTCAGCAGCATGTATTTCTCAACCAGCAGTCAGAGAGACTCCTTCTGCCTCTAGGAGGGCTCCTTTTGAGCCTGGCAGAGTGGCCAAATCAACCAATCCCAACATCAGAATTCTATACACCTGAGAGAGAGCAAACTTCCCAGAAGATTGCTTCATGCAGCTCCCAACAGAAATACCACAGGTGGATAACTTTAACAATCAGGAGCTACTCAGTTGCTCATGGCACATTCCACCACAGAGTTCGCAAAGACTTATGGCTAGAAAAGCCACATCAGATGATTTAGTACACTGCCCTGGTGCGCCATGCAATCCTCAGCCTATATGATTATGAGACCAGAAGAACTAGTTGGTGCCTGGCTGCCAATGCCAACCTCTCAGAGGGGGATCTGTGTAGAAGATCTTGGATAGAGTGGTAGAACAATGTGGGACAAAACTGAAAATCATTAAAAAAAAAAAAAAAAGGAAAAAAAAGGCGGGACAGTTTTGCTGGTCTGATAGAGCCTGATGGAACCCCTGAGACTATGGCCCCTAGCTGCCCTTCAGGTCTGGAATTAAACCCACTCTTGTGGCTTCCAGCCAAACAAAATACAGGCATATGAGCTCAATATTTGCATTAGGTAGATACACTCCTTGGAGAGATTAATCATGGGAGAATAGAAGGACTGTGTATGCACAGGGAAACAGCTCAGGGGGTAGGAGTGCATGGGAGGGAAGGACACAGGGAAGTGGTAACTATGGGGAGGAAATGGGGGGAGCTATTGCATTGCGGGAAATTGCAGTCAATGTCATAAGACAAAGTGTATGTGAGCTGCTGTGTGGAAAGGGAATTTGCTCTGTAAACTTTCACCCAAAACACAATAAAAATTTTTTTAAAAATTAAAAGAATTTAGGAGAGAAAACATATAATAAATCTCAGCTCTGGATGACCTCAAAAAAAAAAAAAGTATGCTCTAGCAATACACTAAGTAGAAGAGTTCAGATGCCTTGATTTCCAAGGACTTTATTTCTATGTCCTTTCTTCTCTGTTGTTACCATGCATAAGTTTGATAATTAAATCCATAAAATGGTTACTTTGATAATTGGACTAGGTCCTTGTATTAGACAGGGTCCAGGAGACAGAAACAACAGTAATTTTTTGAGTAAACTTTTTATTGTGGGACAATTTTAAATTTATAGAGAATTTATAAAAATAGTATAGAGAACTCCTATATGACCCTCACTCAGCTTCCCCTATTTTTAACACTGTAAATTACCACAGTACATTTATTAATAAGAAACTAACATTGATATATTAATATATTTGATATATTGGTATATTTTAAATAAACTTCAGATTTTATTGGATTTCATCAGTTTTTCCATCAGTGTCCTTTTTCTGTTCCAGATTTCAGTCTATAGAACCACATTGCATTTTATTGTCATGTCTCCCAAGTCTCCTCTGGTTGGTGATAGTGTCTCAACCTGTCTTAGTTTCTCATGAACTTGACAGTCATGTGGAGTACTACCCAAATGTCTTATAGAATGTTACCAATCCACATTTGTCTGGGGTTTGTCCCCATTATTTGACTGAGGTCAGAGATTTTAGGAAAGAATATCACATTTGTGAAGTACTCTTCTCTTCACACAATATCAGGGGGCATCGTGATATCCACATGATATCACTGATTATGTTAATATTCATCACTTGGTTAAGGTAATGTTTTCTAAATTTCTTCACACAAAGTTACTTTTACCCTTTCTTTATTCTTTGGAAGCAAGTCAAAAGTCTAACCTACCCTCAAAAATGAAGGGAAGAAATTAAGCTTCCCTTCCCTCTTTAAGAGGTCAGTATCTACGTATATAATTTGAAACTTTTCCATAAGGAGAATTAATTTCTTCTCCCTCATTTATTCAATCATTTGTGTATATCAGGATGAACTCATATATATTTATCTGATATGTTGAGTTATAAGTCAGTGTTATGTTATTTGTTTTGTTGCTCAAATTTACCAGCTTTGGCAATTGAGAGCTCTTTTAGGTTATCTGCTTTTGATATGCCCACATCCTTTTGTGTTTTTAGTACTTCCTTACTTTCTGGTACTACAGTATACTCCAATCTCATCTTGTATTTTTTTCTACCCTGGTCCTAAAACCAGCCATTTCTCCAAAGAGCCCTGAATGCTCTTATTGGAGAATGGTATTTAGAAACC